CGGACACGGCCTGAGTACCAGTGGCTTGAAGGACGGTGCCGGTGAAGATGTTGTGCACGAAGTTGACAATCTCGGTCTCGTTGTTTGGGTCTGGTGTCCCAGAGTATAGGAGATTCTGCGCCGTGGCCAAGATGCTGAATGTTACCGGCGAACAGCCTGGCTTGTTGGGACCGGTTGCCGCCAGTACCGCCCAGAGGAGAGTAGAGAGGAATGCCTGTGTGAGCATGTTGATATGAGCTCCGCTGCTGCTGTGCTCAAGGTGGGAAATCGGACAAGTGTGGTAAGAGGTAAGGGCAGAGCTACCTCACCCCTTTATGAAGACCGTGGATAGTCGTCGACATGCTGTTGGGAGACAATTTGCCTCCAGGTGATCGGCATGGTGAGGGAATAGTGCCAACCTCGTCCCCAAGTTGGCATCAGAGGCCGGGTGAATCACTGAATAGACAGTAGGATAGTCAGGTGCGAGTTCTAGTCACCATCGTACAGGTGGGATCCGCGTTGGGTGCGAACTGCAAGCCATCAACAGTGAATGGTCGAACCTTCGCAAAGACCACCCTCCCATCTTCACCAGAGATGCCTAGACGTTGGTTGAACTGGTCCTTTATGTGACTGATGGTGCAGCTCCCACGATGGAGGTTGTCATCAGAGTCCGTTGCCCAAAACTTGACACCCTCTACACGAAGAGCGTGAGGCAGACAAACTCCGTAAGCTTCACTCCGGAGTCCGATCCAACAGTTGCCAAGCCATGACTGATTGGTCTCCAACACTGCGTGTTTGTGATAGCAGCTTCTTCTGGTGTGTGATACACGGCACGGTGTGAAATCATGGTTGCAAAGTTGAAAGGTGTTGTCGATGCTGCTATGCACCTGAGAGCATATCTTGCGAGACGTGGAGGGCGCTGAGGAGCTGCTGTTATTGTTGTTGGTTCCAAGTTGCATGCCCTTGACAACTTCAAGATGCCATTGGCTTGCCCTGGGGTTGTAATGTCCCATTTGGAAGAAACATTGAAGGATGAGGCGCAGACTAGCCGCCGAGTCACCAATCACGTCACAATATTGGCGAGCTTGATACCAATAATTGTCGTTTGCTTTGACCTGTTGGTGATCGGATTGCAGACATATGCAAACAAACCAGGCTCGCTCCGCCCGAGCCGCAGTGAATAAGCTTAACTCTGCCGAATCTCGTCCCGTGTATTGTCAGCGCGGGATCTGATGCAGTGTTCCCTGTGCATCTCTTCCTGACTAACATCTGAATAATGGCAAGCCACCACACCCCTACACGCTATCATCGCGTGAGCTGTCCAGCTCATCACATTTACAAACCAGCCTTCGCAGCCTCCAACAGGATCTCAACAACCCGATCCGGCTGGCTAACCATCATCATATGATCCGCCCCAATAACCACCTTCTTCACAGTCACAGGCTTCCCCTCCGCCTCAAGCGTCTCAACAGCCCTCTTCACATACTCGTGCCCCAAGTCCGGCTTAACAGCCAAGTCCCGACTCCCAATAACCACAGTAGCAGGCACCGTCTTCCACCCGGCAAACGTGCACGCATCGCCATTGACCCGGCTGCTGAAGACGTCCACCATGCCGGCGTAGTGCAGCGCCTCCTCGGCCGGGAGGTCGGAGTGCAAGAGCTGCGCCGCGACCTCGACCGGATGGGGGTCCATGAACGTCGGCTCGGCGTCGGCGCTGGGGGCGGGAGGTCCCTTTCCGCCGAAAATTTCCGCGATGGTCACGCCGACCGGCGGGAGGAGAGAGCCGAGGTAGACCAGGCCGATCAGGGCGCCAGTGTTCGGGCCTCTTTCGGCGCGCGACAGTCCTCGAGCTGCTTCTGTGATGACCATGCCGGCGTAGGAGGAGCCGACGAGGACGACGTTGTACCCCTTGTCGGCTAGGGAGGCGACGGTGCTATTGACGTGCTCCGCGTCGTCGGGGATGGAGGCTATGCGGCTCGTCTTTTCGAAGAAGGCGCGTCCGACGGTTGGTAGGTGAATGGGCTCGACGTGGTGGCCAAGCTGTTGCAGCTTTGGGGTGATGCGATCGAACTGGGTGGGAAGACAGAACGCGCCCGGGACGAGGACGAAGGCGAGAGGGGAGCTAGTGGCAGACATCTTGTGATCTTAGTGAGTCGGCTCGAGATTTGCAATAGGGAATATGTTGCGTTCAATGATGGAAAGAACCAGCAGCTTTGCAGGTCTAAGCATGGTATGCCGCACCTCTATATAGAGAGGCGGATGTTGGGGTCGCCCAATTCGGAAAGTTCATAGATTTAGGAGGGGATTGCTTGCAACTTCCCAGTTGGGATGTCCTATGCTCGATCCTTTCGCTCCTTTCGGATGCTTGCTCACGCCAAGCAACGGAATCAGATCGCGAAGGAACCGCAGGCTCCCGCTGATGCCGACTTGTTTACCAAGAGCCAAGAGCACGTCTTCCGAAATACTCGCTTCAGAGCCTTATTAGACGGAGGGAAACGCATGTGCAGTCTTGTTTGGAAGGCTTGCCATCGCACTTCATGGGTATCCATGGTGGAAATGACACTTGGTCCCTATGTACCTACGCAAGAACCGAGGCCGAGCCGGAACTCAAGCTAACAGAAGGCATGGCAATCTGCAACTACCGCCCACAATTCTTCGTCGAACAAGCAGTAGCCTCATGGATATACCGAATCATCCCCCCCTCAACCCTGATAAAATTCGAGCTCGCCGTGCCATCCGGCTTCGTCTTGTCAATAAATGGGAAATCATTGAAGACATCCACCCCTCCCACCTCCTCGTCAATGATGTACCTCCGTTTGGTGATCTTGAACGGCTTGGGGAACTCGGGCATCTTGCACGTGTTCGCCGACGCCTTGCTGCCGCCGCCCGTGTAGGCGCCCCCCTCGAGACGCGCGCATGGCGTGCCGTAGGGGACCTTGACGGTGCCGTCGCCCCAGCTGTCGAGGTAGGCGTCGCCCGCGGCCTGGATGACGGCGCGGGCGTCGCGCTTGCCTTCGGGGATGACGTCCCACTTCTCCTGCTTCGTCCACTGGAGGTGGCCGGCCGCGTTGAAGGCCCAGTCGCCGTCGTCGGTCACGACGGACTGCATGGTGGTGATCTTGTCGTCTGTGAAGAGCATGCGGGTGTGGATTACGTAGGGATGTTTCCCGGTGGCTGAAGTCAGCTCGGTGAAGGTGGCGCACTGGGTGGTGTCCAGTAGACTGCGGTTGAAGTCGATGGTGATCGCCTGCGTCAGGACGCCCTTCGTGATGTCGAGGACGGCGTCATTTTCGGTGTAGTTGACGCTGCTGCTTGCTAGGGCGGTGAGGCTGCTGGCCTGGCCGCTTCCTTGAGCTTGAACATATGCCGCTGCCGCGTTCTGGAGGAAGTCTCGTGTGCATGCTGCTGAGGCACCGGAGGCAACGATCAAACCCGCGCCCAGCGCTGAGGGCAAATGCATCATGGATGTTTGAATGTTCTTCGGCCAGGGAATGAGGAATGCGCGCTTCCTTCTCCGTTACAGTACGAGTACAGCCGAAGAGGCCATCGTCTTGTTTTGTACGCCGGGCGGCAACGTGCCGGTAGAAGAGGGGTGATCGACTTGGGGCGACTCTGCTTTATTTGGATTATATCCCCGGCTCAATACAACACGCAACTTGAGAGCCCTCATTGGGAAGAAGAAAATGGCAGTAAGTTGAACATTGCCGGGATAAATGGGGGGAATTTTAATATGGCCGCCACTCGCCGGCACTTGCAAATGTGTGCTGCATCCTGAAAATTGCTTAGACAACTGGACTGTCTGCCGCAGAATACGATATTGAAAGGACGTATTGACAGTACCTGTCAACTACGGTCCCTGCAGCTGCCGACGTTGTAGCGAATTTGTAGTGATGGTGGTCGAGACTAGGTGGTGCGATGGACTGAAACACGGACGATCGTAACCATGACAGCTTCGGAGAGGTTGTATCTCGTGCAGGGCACAAACCCCCGCAAGGGAATGCAGCATGCCATCTCCCAGATTGCCGTGATTCCACCACCTCTACAACCGCGGAGAGCTCGCGAGGGCGGTTCCAGCCACGAGGGGAGATACAGACGCTTGTCTTTGCACCAACCGTCTCCAACATACGCTCGATGCGGCCGCACCAGCGAGCAAGCATCGGGAGCGCCCTGTCGGGTCTCGTGTGTAGGTTGTCGATACAACAAGAACCGAGTTGTGACTTTCGCAGCATCTTCTCCAGATCACTCGTTCATGTCGACCGATTCCATTGTCCTACGCCTGTCTGCCTTCCCCTTCCTTGGCTGAGGCGCGTGAGCGCAGTCCTCCCGCAACTGTAGAATCTCACGGAGACGCTGGCCTGGCCTCATCGGCGCATTCTGGCATTCTCCATCCGGTTCGATTCGGTTGCAATCCGGTCGGGTGTCACGGCTGACGAGTGATGGCAAGGGACTGACAACGTCGCTGCGAGTCGAGGCACAATGTCAGCATCAGGCTGGCGGACTGCAGGCGAGGAGATGGGGAAGCAATGCCCGGAAACAGCTTCCAACTTTGAAATCCCCTAGTAATTGTCTGACCAAACCGCCTTAACGGCCTGTGCAAGATACAGACGCGACGCAAGAGCGGCGAAGTGAAGTACGCGCCTGTGCTGCTTGTCAGGTTTGTCGACGCGACTCATGATGGACAAGCGTGGCATTTCCAGCATTATGTAGGGTATCCACTTTTGTTCTCCCCCTGACGGCTCGGGCCGGGCTTCAATTCTCGCTTACGTCACCGAGGCCGACACCATTACTCTTTTGTTGACTTTCATCCTATCAACCACGCCCGCCTCCCTCTCCTGGCATCAGTTGCGCCATATCGCCTCCCCCTCGTCTGACGCCCTGAATCCACGTTCGGCCACGATTCACTCTATCCCAGCCAGCACCATGATTCCATCCACACATCGTGACACGTATCCCGCCCCTACCCAGTTCCATCGGCTCCGACCAAGCGTCATGACGTCCCAAGAAGCTGCTCGACGCCATCCCCCGTTGTGGTGGGGTTGGATATCACATTCGGCTGTAATGGCTTTACATTATTTACTGAAAGGTCACCGGCTCGATTCCGGTCGAGGGGAGTTATTCTTTTGTTTCTTTTGTCGTCATATACCTTATCAGTATAGGGTAGGCGCGGGCTGGGTATGTTTTTTCGTCTTCCAATCACCGCATATTGGATGTTGTCCATCTATCGCGATGGCACGATGCTTCTTCGAATCAATTGGGCATATAGAAGCGTCAAGCAAGCTTCAGTTCCGGTTTTCGCGGCTCACCGTTGACTCGGTCAAAGAAGAGTTCGAAGCCGGATTACATATCACCTTGAGTGCAGGCGCAAGAGCCGCATCTTTGTTCGAATCGGGGAAGAGGGTGGACTGAAGCAGCGTGGTAAGAGATGGCGTACACACTACGACTCTGGGGGAAGACGGAGGACACAGCGATGCCTGCAGTCTACCTTCACCTCAACAGAGACTTTGAGCAATCGCTTGAGCTACCCTATAGGCGGACCTATGGGCTCTTCGTCAAATACTGGCAGGGCTGGATGCGATATGGACTCCAGCTTTAGCAATTTAGCATCCCGATGGGGAGAACGGTGTCTACCTTCACCCTTTTGACAGCCTCCAACTCAAGCAGACACGAGAAATTGCGAGTTGAGTCAGTGGACGTGGTTATGCTGTCAAAACCACAACTTCACTACTCAAAAGATGGACGATCCTGGCCAAATGTGGTACGTCAGACGATATTACCTGGATGTGGTATTTGCTAATAATGACAGGTGGCTCAATTCATCATCTAGAACGACGGTACGGTCGCCATGTCCCTCGAGAGACTCTCCATATCAGGACACTCGAAGCAGCGCTTCGGTCTCGCGGCTTGACACACCCGCTCCGATGTTTCACCCCTCGCTCCACGTGCTTATCTATTGCAAGAACGTCGGCGGTAGAGGAGGTCCCCAGACATGCAGGCTGTCGGGGCTGGCTTCCGACTTGTGGATGGGCGTCGTCTCGTCCACCAGGTCACCGTCGACATAGTGCTCCATGATGAAGCCGCTGCGATCAAACCTATGATGAAAATTAGCACCCGGGTCACATGCGGTGGACAAAGGAATTTCCGAACGTACCAGTAATCGAAGATTTGCGAGCCCATCACGTGCCTTCCCACACCCCAGACGAGGTCGTAGTCCTTCTCTCGGAGCCATTGGTGGCCCAGTGCTTGGATGTCAAAGTCGTGCACTTCGAAACTGGAGTGGTGGACGTGGTATTTCGGGCCTGGAGAGGGCGGCACGTCAGTAAGTGGGGTCTCCCGATATGCCATAGGTGGTGGGCGAATGCTTACCCTCAAAGAAGAAAAAGGTGTGATGGTCGACCTGCTCCATCCCCCTATCCAAGTGCAAAAAGGTGGTGATGTCCTTGCCCTCGGCATTATGCACAAGGTCACTAGGCTTGAGGTTGAACCTCGTCGTGTAGAACTCAAACGTCTTGGCGAAATCCGTCACGCAGCAGCCGAAGTGGCCCAGCTTGTGCACCGGCGAAGGGCCCTTCTTGAACCTCTGCGTCTTGTTCACGGCCCGGTTCTTGACCTGGGGCAAGTTGTAGTCCAGCTCGGGCAGGTGCTTCGACATGGGCACGGGGGTCTGGCCGTACACGAGGTGGAAGGGGAAGTCGTCGACGGGGTCGCGGAAGGTGACCCGCTTGCCGCCGCCGGGCGCGTCCGAGTCCTCGACCGCACTCGCCTTGGGCAGCGTCCTGGAGGCCAGCTCCAGGTCCTCAAGCGACTCGACGACGAAGCCGGCGCCGCCGAACTCGTTCTCGGGGCCCTTGCGGGCGCAGTACACGAAGGGTTCGGTGCCGTAGCCCTTGAAGTAGACGGTGTCGCCCCGGTCGTCGGCTATGCTGAAGCCGAAGTCGAGGAGGAACTGCTTGGCCACGTCGAGGTCCTTGTGGGTGTAGTACACGTGCGCGATGCGCACGAGCTTGATCTTGGGTATCTGCTGGTCGGCTGCCATGTTTGCGGTTGTTGCTGAGTTTCTTACTCTTGGGCGATCACAGAGTTAGGCGGTAGTGTTGTTCGGAAGGGAGTTGGAGCCTGGGGGGTACACAGAAGTGCGATTGTCTTTGGGCCGTGCAAGTCTGCTCCTTATCTTCGACTTTATCTGGACTTTTGGGGGAGAAAATAAAGTCCCGGACGGCACAGACTATCAGATATGCGCCCCATTGGGTCACTCATAGGCGGCGACATCCCGAGCAATTCGTCATGAATCACAAAGCTGCTTCGTCGCGTGGCCAGAACTGGTGTCCGTCGTTCAGGACATTCGACCGAAAAGGAAAAGAGACACCTCCACACCTCCGCACCCGCAGTGTTGTCGGTGGAACTTTCTCCGCATCGGTATGTCTCGGTCCCTCACGCCAAGGCCCTGACACGACCTCTTGGGGTTTAGACTTCAGACCGTCGAGCGATGCAGCGAATGGTACGCGCCGATGGTTCTCCGCATTCGTCGAGATTTCTTGCTTCAACCAACACCAGGCACCCCTGACACCACTCCACCAACTCCAGCAGATCAGTCAGATCAATGTAACGCTGCCGGCAATGCCAATGCCCTAACTCGTTTTTAGTCATGGCTGACCATTCCGACCTGGCGCGGTGACACGAGGGGAAGCACAAGGCTCCACGGACGCGAAGCGGGATGTGAGGCCGGTTACGGAATTAAGTTTTGAGACCTCATCCGAGTAGTATGTAAGAGACGTGGAGTGCTTTTGGGCGCGGATCTTCGATGGATCCTGAGACTTCTTGACGTGTATTTCGTGCTTCACCTCTTGTCTAACTGGACTCTCTTCACTTTACCGTCGATATCGATACCCTCAACACACACATAGTCCATACCGCACGTACACAAAGTCAAGATGGCGGATGCAGATATCGTCAAGACAGATATGTTGATCGTCGGGGCTGGACCTGCGGGTGCCTCCCTGGCTTGTTTCCTGGCCTCTCATGGTATGCGCGTCGCGAACCATTCTACGTGCCAACGACCGGAACTGACGATGTCCCAGGCCACACAGGTATCATGATCGCGGCTGCTCCTGGGTGCGCCGAGACGCCCAGGGCTCACATCACCAACATGGCTGCGCTCGGTAAGTTAGCACGCGATATTGGCCGAATCCACGGGCGAGGAGGTTGCTAACCCCGTCTGACAGAGTGCTTAAGAGACATTGGGTTGGACCAGCAGTGCATCGACGTGGCTGCCGCCGGCCACAACATGCAGCACACCCGGTGGTGCAACTCAATGGCAGGCGAGGAGTACGCCCGCCTCTACTCATGGGGCAACGATCCGAAGCGCGCAGTATGTCATTCATCCCTTGGGGTGTCCCGGGTTCCGGGCCCAATCTTTCTAACGGTGTATTCACGTAGGGTGACTACGACGCCGCAAGTCCCTGCGACCACGTCGACCTCCCCCAGACCGACCTCGAGCCGATCCTCACGCGGCGCGCCGTCCTCGCGGGCTGGACCTTGCGCTTCAACACATCCTTCGTCAACTTCACCCGCCCCTCCCCGGACGTCATCATCAGCGAGATCCGCGACGACCTCACCAAGACGACGTACAAGATCCAGTCCCGCTTCCTCTTCGGCTGCGACGGTGCCCGCAGCCAGGTCATCCGCGAGCTCGGCATCCCGCTCATCAAGAAGCCCGGCCAAGGGCTGGCGCTCAACGTCCTGCTCAAGGCCGACCTCTCGCACCTCGTCAAGAGCCGCACCGGCAACCTCCACTGGGTCTTCCAGCCCGAGAAGGAGCACCCGGCCTGGGGGTGGGCGTGCATCGTGCGCATGGTGCGGCCGTGGAACGAGTGGATGTTCATCTTCCTCCCGCCTCCCGGTGCCGACGTCAAGGCGGATGAGATCAACCTCGCTTCGAAGGAGCAGTACAAGAAGAGGGCGGAGGAGTTCATTGGCGATCCCTCTGTCGACGTCGAGATTCTCGATGTCAGCAAGTGGTTTAGTAAGTCTCCCGCTTTTGTAAGCCAAGCAGTCCCACGTTGCTAACACCCCACGCCAGTCAACGAGACAGTAGCAGAATACTACTCGGACGGCAACATCTTTTGCCTCGGCGACGCCGTGCACCGGCACCCGCCCTTCAACGGCCTCGGCTCCAACACCTGCATCCAGGACGCCTTCAACCTGGCCTGGAAGGTCTCGTACGTCATGCAGGGCAAGGCCTCCCCCAAGATCCTCGACACGTACAGCACCGAGCGCCAGCCCGTCGGCATGGGCATCATCACGCGCGCCAACCAGGGCCTCCGCGACCACGTGCCCTGGATGACGGCGATCGGCATGACCGAGCCCGACCTGGAGAAGCGGAAGGTCATCCTGGCCGAATTCGACGACAAGGGCGAGGTCGGGCGGAAGAGGCGCGAGCAGTTCCACAAGGGCATCGAGAACACGGGCACCGAGTTCCACGGCCTGGGCGTCGAGATGAACCAGCAGTACCGCTCGGGGGCGGTCTACCTCGCCGACGAGGGGGAGGCGCCCGCGCTTCCCGAGGATGCGGTTCGCTACAGGCTCATCAGCACGTACCCCGGCATGAGGCTGCCGCACGCGTGGTTGAACACGCGTGTGCCGGGGAAGAAGTTCTCCACCATCGACCTAGCGGGCAAGGGCAAGTTCTGCCTGCTCACCGGACCGGGGGGAGATAAGTGGAAGAAGGCGGCGCAGGAGGTAGCGAAGAAGGTTGGAGTTGAGATTACGAGCTACAGTATTGGGTGGAAGGAGGATTACGAGGATGTTTACTTTGACTGGGCTAAGAGGAGGGAGGTTGAGGAGGATGGCTGCGTGCTTGTCAGGCCGGACAGGTTTGTGGCTTGGAGGTCCAAGAGCATTATTGACGAGCCCGAGAAGAAGCTCGAGACGGTGATGAGGAGTGTTTTGCTTGCGTGAGCGATTACCGTAGACTGCGTTTAGACCATTTGTAACAATCACAACCTTTGTTAACAATCATGATGGTATTTTGAACAGTTGCTTGATCATCACTCATCCCTCTGCGATCTATCATGACATGCAAATACGCCCAACTCCGAGTCTGTACCGCAACAGA